GTAGTGTTTGATTTTTTTTTTTTCTACAAATCTAAATCACTTGTAATTTTAGACGTGTGTTTATCAAAAATAAGTAAATCTTAGAAAAATATCAAAAAAATATTTTACATGAAATAAATTGATCAAAATACCCCCTTAAAATTTTTGGGAGGTATTTTAGTTATTTTACTTTTTATAAATAATTTTTTATATTTTTATTAGGTGTGCCTTGATGAAAAGAACAAAAACCTAAAATTTTAAGTGATTTGAATTTGTAAGAAAAAATAAAATTTAAACACTATTAGATATCCGTGATCATCAGATAAATCCGGATTCAATATGACTCGTGATCATGAGCAAATAGACTAATCCCATTTTCTTTCTAATAAAAAAAAAAAAAAAGTAAGGATTAGGGTGCGCATAACGCTTCAAACAACTCGTCACGATGAAAAGTCCATAAACAAACGGTAAGTCGGACGGTAAGTATGACAGTAGGAAATGTCAGCATGCTTTCTGAAAAATATGACTGTTTTTAATAGGGCGCCGACAGTGCAGTCCATGAGCACTAACATGCACGATTCTCTCTCTTCTTGAAACAACACGGCCTCTCTTCTCTCTCTACGAAAACAACCCTCTCTCTCTCCTGGTTTTCTTCCTAAGCTCCTGGTTTTCTTCCTCCCTCCACTCTCTTGCTACACAGTGGAAGTCCCTCTCTTTACGCAGTGGTCCTCCCTCTCTTTGTGCAGTAGAGAAACTCAACTTTCTCTCTCTCTACATAGTGGAAGTCCCTCTCTCTCTCTACGCGGTGGTCCCTCTCTGTGCAGCAGAAAACCCAACTTTCTCTCTCTATGCAGTGGAACTTCTCTCTCTACGCGGTGGTCCTCCCTCTCTCTCTCTGTGCAGCAGAGAAACCCAACTTTTTCTCTCTCTACACGGTGGAACTCACTCTCTCTCTAGGGGTGGTCCTCCCTCTTTCTGTGCAGTAGAAAAACCCAACTTTCTCTCTCTACGTGGTGGAACTCCCTCTCTCTCTGCAGCCATTGAAGCCCCATCTCTAAAGGTACTCTCTCTCTTTCTCTTATTTGATAGGTTTTAGTGGGAGAAATCCCTCCATAATTTCCGGCCTTCCTCAAGCCTCTTCTTCTTGCTTCATTTATAACCAGGTAGTTTAGATTGATTCTACAGTTTTGAAGGTTTTATTCATATTTGATTGATCTTAGTTTGGAGAGTGTTCGATTGAGAGTTTTTTGAATTGTATTGATTGATTTTTCTGTGCAATTTCTGATTTTTCTCTGTAATTTATTGGATCCTACATTAGTCAATGAGATAATCATTTTGGTAGGATAAATTGAAAATTTAAAAATGGAAAACTATTTCAAATTTTTGTGGAGGACGTGATGGCATTTGAAGTGTTTGATGGATTTCCAAAGGTAAGTATAAAAATTGGCATCCCAATATTGCGTAGGAAAAATCCAGTTTTTGGGCTACAAAAATTGAAAAAGTTAACAATAGATTAGAAAATCATTTGGGCTAGAAGTTCTCTCTCAAAATTGTAAAAGTTAGCCATAGATTTATTGGCTACAAGGGTTATCATAAGTTCTCTGTTGAACATGCTTAAACGATTTTATTTGGGGCTTGCATTCTTTCTCCCATTGGCAACTTTTGACAATCTTGTTGTCCTGTGTTTTTGTGCGTTAAGAGGTACAATTCTCTTAGCCTAAATTTAGATCTAAGTAGGAGTTTCATGTTGATTCAAATTTCACAATAATTCTCTCTCATTCCTGAAAATGCAATTGTTTAGTTTCTTCCCATTCTATGCTGTAATTTATTGCTTTCTCCTTATTAGATTCAGCTGTTATAATTATGATTATTTGGTTCAGGTATAAAGCAAATGGCATCAGGTTAGATTCTGGTGACAACTTCATGTTTATGACAAACTTTTAAATCCTGAAAAGTATTGTATGTTGGGGACAAATTCTATGTTTATGCTTTTATATATGTTTATGTCACTCATCATAATGTAGAGAGGACAAATTCATATGGAACAACTTCGAAGGAGGGGCTATGGCTCGTTTTTTTTTTTTTTTGAAAAGTTTGTTGTTAAACTATTGGCATTATTGATGCAGGTTGTATGCAATCCACTCAAAATAAAAAGATGCAGGCTGTATGCCATTGTACAAGCTTGTCTGTTGATTACAGAGAGTATGGTTTTTGTGTAAACTTGGTGACGGTTTGTTGCAATTATGCAAATCTGTCTTGATCTGCAGCAAGAGCTTGTCTTCTTGATGACATTGGCCATGATATTTGATTGTTGAAAAAACATTAAAAAATGCAAGAAATTAATCTCACTTGTACGTAATGACCGCACTGCATTTGATATTTCTGTGATCGTTCAAGTAGTCTGTTGCAGAACGTTTTTTTGAAAATAAACAGTTTCAAAAAGTAGTTCTGAAATCATATTCTATTGCTATCACAAGTAAAATTGAAACCTTATTTTGATAGTGAAGGGGCAAGGTCAAGAAAAGTGTATGTGCTTGACTACAAGCTCATTCTCACCTAGAGCGCAAATTATTAGTTATCCTATTCAAATGTATCTTTTATGGGTTCCGGAATGTATTAATGCTTACTAGGCGAGCTTATTATCTTGCCATTACTGCTCTCGATATTACGAATTGTATTGGAAAGGTTGCTTGCAAGAACTTACAAGATGCACTTGCTTGAGTACATGCCCCAATTTAGAGTAGATGGAAACACATAAGCTGTTGGCGCCTTTGATTTGTGAGGTATTTGGGGTAAATGTTTTGTTCTCTCTTAATCATTAGAAACAGTATATAGGAAGTCATATGCTTCAAGTGGAATGCTATTATTGTACCTTTCCAACACTCGAAATATTAATCCAGCTGCTGAGTCAACTCTTTATCTTTATCTAGAATTTCATCACACCACTTTAGATAGCCACATCCAGTTTCATTCCAACGGTTAACACGATAAGATAAATGTGTGTTAGATATATGCGTACAAATGAACATCAATATGTTTCTACATTATGTTAATGAATGAAAAGTATATAAGAAAAAAAAAACAAAAAAAGGTAGGAATATTTTATGAGCTAAAAAAATCAAAAATTTTCACTTTAAAACAAAGTGGAAATCAAAGATGACATCAAACATTGTGAAATTGGAATCACAGGACAACAAGATTGTCGAAGTTGCCAATGGGAGAAAGATTGCAAGCATCAAATCAAATCTTTTATGCATGTTCAATAGAGAACTTATGATACCCATGTAGCCGATAAATCTATTGCTAACTTTTTCAATTTTAAGAGAGAACTTGTAGCCCAAATGATTTTTGAGTCTCATACCGAAGACAAAAACCCACATTTCTAGACGATCAACAATCAAGTTAGGCGTTGAGCCCATAGATGTCACACTTAGAAGAAAAGGAGGGTCGACGAAGTTCCAGATAACCTTGTCGAAGAAAATTTGCAGAGAGTCGATTCATCAAATATCAATCCTGAACCATAAAAACAGAATATCAAAGTCAAAAAGGAAAATGACACAAATAAAGGTGTGCATCTTTCAGCAACAAGTAATACCAGTCAAATTAACGAATTCTAATCTATTGCTAACTTTTTCAATTTTTTCTAGCCCAAAAACTGAACTTTTCCTACGCAATATTGGGATGCCAATTTTTATACTTCGCTTTGGAAATCTATCAAACACTTCAAATTCAATCTCCTCCTCCAAAAAAATTTGAAATAGTTTTTCATTTTTAAATTTTCAATTTATCCTATCAAAATGATTATCTCATTGACTCATTTATGATTCAATAAATTGCACAGAAAAATCAGTCACTACAATTCAAGAAACTCTCAATCGAACACTCTCCAAACTAAGATCCATCAAATATGAATAAAACCTTCAAACTGTAGAATCAATCTAAACTACCTGGCTGTAAATGAAGCAAGAAGAAAGGGTTTGAGAAGGACCGAAAATAATGGAGGGATTTCTCTCACTAAAACCTATCAAATAAGAGAGAGAGTACCTTTAGAGATGGCGCTTCAATGGCTGCACACAGAGAGAGGGAGTTCCACAACATAGAGAGAGAAAGTAGGGTTTTTCTTCTACACAGAGAGAGGGAGGACCACCACCTAGAGAGAGAGAGGGAGTTCCACCACGTAGAGAGAGAAAAAGTTGGATTTTTCTGCTCCACAAAGAGAGGGAGGCCCACCGCATAGAGAGAGAGGGAGTTCCACTGCGTCGAGAGACAAAGTTGGGTTTTTCTGCACAGATAAAGAGGGAGGACCACTGCGTAGAGAGAGAGTGAGTTCCACTGTGTAGAAAGAGAGTGGTTGGGAGAAAGAAAACCAGGAGAGAGAGAGGGCATGTTGTTTTGGTAGAGAGAGAAGAGAGGGTGTGTATTTTCAGGAAGAGAGAGAGAATCGTGCATGTCAGTACTCATGCACTGGCAGCGCCCCATTAAAAGAGCCATATTTTTCACAAAAAATGCTGACATTTCCTTCTCACCGTCCATTTATAGACTTTTCATCATAACCGTTGGCGCAGCTGAAGTATATGAGCGAGCATACTAATCCCATATATATATATATATATATATATATATATATATATATATATATATATATAA